TTCCAAACAATTGTAGCATTATATTCATGACGAATAATAAAAATCACAAACTCATTTGTAAAAAATTCAGAAAGAATGGTAGAAATATATTGCAAAGGGAAAAAAAAGGGACAAACAACCTCTAACTTTCTAGGACAAAATTTTTTTTTTGTAGAACAGCAAGTAAATTATTGCTTTTAATATAATTTTGTTTGATATTATTTTTTTTCAATAAATTACTGAATTAATAGCTGTTTAAATAAAAGGTAATTTATGCAAAGTTAAATACGTATTGTTTTTTTTTCATACAAAATGAAATTATTAATTTAAAAGATACTCCATAATTTAAAAAAATTTTCTTCTGTATTAAGTTCTTGAACATCGTCTAGAACAGTGGTTTCCAACTTACATGAGGCCACAATTAAAAACAGAAGTCAAGTGGCCGGCCGCAACTTTATCGAAATTTTATATAGGACTCTTTTATGTTTGAAGGAACATTAATATTACTGTCATATTTTTATCACGTTGTACAAAACAAAAGTATTGAATTACAAATCAAAATACGAAGTAGATTTAACCCGAGAAATAAATTTTTTTGCACAGTTGGTATGTTAAATTTCAGACAGACAAATTAGGATTTTTTTAACGAAAGAAAAGTATTTTAAACCAATAAAGATTTTTGACGAAAACTGTCCGAAAGAAAATAACAATTAATATTTTTTAGTTCGCAGGCCGCAAAAAGCTTCGAGGGCCGGACGTGGCCCGCGGACGGACCGCCTGTTAGTGCTCTAGAAAGTCCCAACACCTCCCCCTAGAAGTTTTCAACAATCGCTGTAGTGTGACAGCGCCTACGTTGGAAAACTATGATTTAGATCAAAAATCGCCCCCCCCCCAGTATTGATTGTTTTTAATAATGACAGGAAAAAATACGTGCAGTTCTCTAGTTTTTATCGCTTTCGATTACTTTCTTTGATTTGGTAACTGTCTTTAATATTTTAAAGCTTAGACTCCATCCAAATTTTTGCATCTCAAATGTATAATTAAATATTCTTATCATTTAATTAAAATAATGAACATTAAATATCTCACTTTCAATAAATTGCGAGTAACTTATGAGTAAGTAAGTATACCATAAAATGAAAGATAACTATGATTTGACTTGAGTATTCTTACAAAAAACATAAGGCAACAACAAAAAAAAAAGTGTCCCAACTTGACTTACACTTCCGTGTTGTTTTTGAAAGAAGATATTGACTTTTTGGGTTGGGAACTCTTACAACTTAATGAACTTGAAAAAGCTCCATGATGGCATAGTGGTTACTTCGCTGATTTTTCCTATCAACCAATTTCTTCAAGGAACAAATGAATAAAAATATATAAAGATTTTAGAAAAAAGAAGAAAAAAAAGAATAATAAAATGGCAGCTATCAAGGAGTAGTGAGAGACTCTTTAAATACCTTTAAAAAATGTGTTCTTTAACGTGAGTCGGGTAAGGTTACAGTGTAGTAAGGGCGCGGTCTTGTTCATATCTGACAGCTGTATCACAGAAAATGAGTGTGTGAAGTATTAAATGTTTCACGGACATAACGTTGCTGCTTTGTTTAGGATTTTGTTCCTGAAATGTTGTTATTTAGCTATCATATTCTAAATTGATGCTAATCCATTTAGAAAGATCTTTCATTTTACTGCGCAATTTGTCCAATCACTTCATAATTAATTAAAAATATCAGACTTGATGGGTTAATTTTATTGATTACGCACTTCTGGGAAAAATTTTCGAAAAACAACTATCCGTTTTGTTAATTAATAATTAAGTGAAAGTTCTCTCTTCTATGCTTGATTTTCGTTAATTTAAGACATTTTTTTTAATGAGATACCAATGTAAACTTTTTATAATATTTTGCTCTTTATTACAACTATCTCTCTGTTTATTAAAACATTTCAAGAAGAAAAAAACTTGCCAATTTCTTTTTTAAATTTGAATAAAGAAACACAAAAAATGTATGCATACTGCAAATGTATCGATATTTCAATTCATTTCCACTACAATTTTCAATTTTAATACAGTTTGATTTACAGTTTCTGAATTTTTCCAGTTTGTCGAATGAAAACATAAAATTATTACAAGAAGGTTTACCCAAATGGAATAATCATTGGACTAGATTATTATGTTTTATTTTTTAACGGCGGGTACTAAACCTATCGTTCTTTCCTTACGGTTTTTCAGGACTGCTATGTTTCAGAATAAGAAAATAAGACAAGAGAATGCCGCGTTAAATTTTAGGCTGACATAACATTCTGAGTACATAATATTTTGCGCCCAAATTTTGTGAAAGCAGATGTTATCGTTTTGTTAACGTTTGTTTGAGACTGTTATGTTTCAGAATGAGAAAATAAGAATTATCGCAATAAGGGATGACCCAATGGAATATCATTATGTGTGAGCATATTACTATAACAAGAAAATGTTAGTTAAAATGAACATTCAGACCAAATAATATATTGCTCTTAGGTTTTGTGCATGAAATTGTAATTTATTTTCATAAGTTTTATTGTTTTGCATAAACGCTTGTTTAGAACTGCAAAGTTTGCAGAGGGAGAATATAAACATTATTGCAACAAGGATAAACAAATGCAGCACCTTTGTGCATAAGCAAATCATTATAAAAAAATGTTCAGTTACCATTTCGGGGCCCGATGCAAATTATTTTGAAGGGCTCTTTAAATATTCTCCCTTTATTGTAAGCCTATAAAGATGAATAAATTTAAAACCATATATTTTTGCCTATATTGTTGAATTATGATTTTTATCTTTGTTTTTAATTACATTCCTAAAAACTAACTACTTAGCATTTTTTCTTGAAATTTAACAGTTCAATTTTTATGTATACAACTTGCGTTTTAGAAGTAAGGAATTTTACGTTTAATCTACTTGTTTCAATAATCCTCTAAAAATGTTTAAATATATTAGTTTCTAATTATATTATTTAGATTTATAAAAGTGTCTTTTGCGAGCGGTCGCTAAGAAAGTAGAAATAACTAATTTTTTTTACTATTTCATCTATATGGTAAAATAAAAAAATAAAAAGATTTCCGAAATTTCAACACACATTGGGACCTCCTTATAACATTTTTCAGACTGAAGCATTCTTATTTTCGTTGTTAAAATAAAATAAAACCTTTGATCAGGTCTAAGTACTTGCATTTCAAATTTTATTATCATAATTAGAAATAGTAAAGATAAGAATTGCTGGCTCTTTTGGCGTGTAAATATTGCATACATAAAATTTTCTGGAGCAAAGATTGTTTAAGATTTATTCATTCATACGATCATTTTATTCGTTCATGCGATCATTTTATTCATGTTAAACGAAAATATATACTGAAATTTGAAAAAGAATTTTTAAGAAATTTGGATATTTTTATTTACTGCGCATTATAATCTGCAAGTATATAGAACTCATAAATTTATAAATAAATATATATTCTTTCCTTCTTAAATTAAGGAAAAGAGCAAGATTGGTAAAACTGCATTTCCTTCAATGAAAATTCGAATTTTTAAGTGCACATCTCTGATGCCGACTTAACAGATATGAAATATGAATTTAGTTTTATATTTTTAGACTCAATTTCATTTTATATTTTTTATTCTATCGTATCATATTTCCATATCAACGTTTCAGTAACTCTTAACCCGGAATTGCTTGGTTGGTAGGGCGTTGGACTCGTGTTCGTTAGAACGGGAGTTGGAATCCAGTCGGCAGAAGAATCCCCGTGCCCGAAAGAATTCCATCAAAGGTGACTGGTGCACTTTAAATCTGTCGGAGTCACAAAGTCCTCCAAGTTCCTATAACAAATCAATACCCTTGTGGGCACTGCTCCAGAAATACCTTGTTTTCTGGATTGGGTTCAAAGTTACAAGGCTATGGAGTTGAACATTGATAGTCGTAAACTCAAATTTATGTCCGCTGTTCAACGACGGTTATAAACTAAAATTAAGTAATTCTACTTTTATTATTCACCACCGTTGAACAAGCTATCCGTATGAGAATAGCGGCTATTCCGATGTTTAACTCAGCCTCGTAGTTTTGTGCCCAACACAGAAGACTATGAAAGTCCTGCATCAAACAAGATGAGATTTTTTAGAGGGAAACTAACATTTGCGTTACCTGGAGTAAGAAAATCATGAAAATCTTTCATTGTCAGCCAAAGGGATGGGACTCTTAACTTTTATCAGTCTATCTCTGGGAATATTTGTTGTCAGTACTGTGATCGTTGCAAACGTGAACTTAACTGATGAGCCATTACCGGGATTCAAACCTGGGGCACCATATTGGAAGGCATGTGCTCGATCCCTTCTGCCATCCCGGGTAATCAAATAATTTATTCGAATTTCAAAATAATTTTTTTCAAATAATAATCTTAAAATAATAATCTTAAAAATAATATTTATTTAAAACAAAAGTAAAAAAAGGCCCATTTTAGAATATAGTTTTCATTTTGAATATTATTAATTAATTTGTATTATTTATTTAATTTGAATCATTTATTTAATCTTTAGAGTTTTGTTTGACATAAAAGTGCATCATGAAAATAGTTTGAAAAAAAAATTCCTGAATTTTTATTTAAATATAAAAGTTACAGTTTTTTTTATTTAGAAAATTTAGTGGATATACTAAAGTTACTACAAAATTTTTAATGTCTGAAAGAGAACATTATGCTTTTATTTGAAAAAATACTAATTTTTTGATCTTAGATCATTAAGCGATAAATATTTTTTCCTTTTGTATGAATAATTTTTAAAAAAAAGTATTTTTAAGATAATTAAAAATTATCAATAAAACTTATAATAGAACAATATTTCGTTAGAATCAAAGTTTTGTTTAAAAGCTTTTTTTTCAAAAATAAATAACTAAATTAATAAAAAATGCAGAATGAAACTCATGATTTAATCATACTTAATTATGCTCAAATCTCAGATATATGCCACTTTAAGAATTTAATTAAATAAGCTTACTCACCTGTTGGTTCTTTTCATTTCTTCTTCGAATAGCATCTGTTTCACTAAATGCCCAAACGATTAAAAAGATAATGAAATAAAAACTACAATAGTCTCGCATCTCGTCTGCTTGAGAATAAAATTTCATTCAAAGATTGACAAGATCATTTAAGTCGTTTGTCTTAATCGTAATCGTAGAATGAAGAGTTATTGTTTGATATGAAACCAGAACTACTCGAGCGCAGCGTATAAGTGGTCTGTTCAACCGTTTAGTCAGAGAAGAAGTGAGGGAGTATTATTGCTTTAACGCAACAGGATGGGAAAAAAATAAATGTGATGAGGTTGATGAAAAAATAATAAGAGAAACTTTCTTTTAGTAACTTCACTCAGCTTCAGCTATTTGTTGCAAATGATTTCATTTTTATGAGTGGATTTCCCTGCTGTTTTATTTGTCATAAGAATGTTATGTAAATTTCTGAGGTTCGAAGAGATTGTAGGGAGACACGGGTTGCTTGTCGCAGAAACTACTCTTTTTAAAATTTAATTATTTAGGTGCTGTCATTTAAAATATGGTATTACATGAGTTGAAAATTTAAACTTTTATTTCAAATTTTTGGTAATGTAAATTTTTTAAATGCTCTCGAACAAGTTTACTTTTTATAAATTGACAAAGTTTAAAAATAAATAGACAACTTAATCTGGTTAGCAGGATCTGATTTTTAAAAAAGCGTTTAACGTACGTCTCCAGACAATTCTCGTTCAATATGAGTTTATCTTGAAACTCTTTTTAATTTCCTATTTACATCGTAGGGATGATTTAAAAGCATACTTATTTTATGCATTTATTTTTTTATTGAGGCTATTATTCTGATAAGACAAATATCTATGTATTTTCATTGTTTCACCATATCATCAGAAATTTTTTTTTTCTTTCATCTTTTTTTTCTAATTTTTTTTAAATTTTTTTTTTTTTAGTAAACTTGCACAATAGTGGTTTTTCACCCGTTCCTCATGTGGGAAAATGAAATGTCGAATAAAAATAAGGCAGGATTTGCAGAATCAAATTTGCTAAATATATTACACACATTAAGTAAATCACATTATACAAAAATATTTAGCTTAAAATAATAATAATAATTAATAAATAAATAAATAAAATAAATATAAAGAAAACAGGGGGGGGGGTAATTTCTCATAAATCTCTTATAAACAGCTTAACGCAACAAAAAAATTTACAAATTTATAAATTAATATCACCCGACTTAATTTTCTTGTTAAAAAGCATTTCGCAAAAAAAAAAAAAAATCTCCAATAAAACAAATATTTTTTTAGTACAAAAAAATATTTAAGATATCAACCAAGACAAGTACAACACATAGGGTAAACCAACCAGTGAAGGAACACTACTCAGTGAAGGAACATTTCATATATATTGATTAAAAATAAGAATTTGAAAGTTTTTCTTTAGATTGATTGGTAACAATAGCTTACTGCCAAACAATAGGAAGTCATCTAGCAATGTTTTGGATTACCTGGTCAAATAGACTTCTCTGCAAAAATATTTGAATTTGTTATTATCTCTGCAACACCTTGTTTCTTTGAAAAAATTATAAGGTGAGTGTTTGTATTTATATGTTTGAAGTGGAATTAATTGCATGTAATAGTTTTATTTTTCTCACTGCGAAAAAGAGAATTCAAAATATAGTTATTGAAGTTACGTTTTATTTTTTTAAGCATCATAGCACAATAAAGTACTGAGATAAGGGGGTGTTTATTCACTGGATAACCAAACGATGAAAAACCAGTGAAGGAACAAGTGTTCCTTTACTGGTTTTTTTTCTAATTTAATGAAAATAAAAGATAAACTTTACTTTTCTTGTACCTTTAGTGATGTTCCGCATCAAAAGTATGTTAAAAATACGAAGAACAACTTCTAACCAGTGAGGGAACAGGCATGTTCCTTTAACGGGTATAGATTTCCCAGTGAATGAACAGTATGTGTTAATATGTTGTCACTTTAATTTTCAATTCATGATTACAAGAAAAAGTTAACATTTTCCAAGTATTTATATGTTATAATTTCAAGAATAGGCTTGTTTTTAAACATTTGTATGACTTATAAATTCATAAAGAGCATAAAAAAATAACCAAAATTAAGTGTTCCTTTGCTGGGTGTTCATTCACTGGTAAGAGCTGTTCCTGCACTTGGTCTTCTTACTACTTGTTATTTGAACCTCCGAAACTTTAAAACAATATCATGTAAGTTCTCTACAATTTTTTTTACATAATTTGCAATTAGTAACAAATATGCTGACACTGTCATTTAACTAAAATTACGAATTTTGAAATTAATATGATTTTTTAAAAGGCAAGCGAAGCTTAAGTGTTCTTTCACTGGTTAGTTTACCCTATATTGCTCTAATTTCTTTTTTCTTCAAAACAACAGGTGTAATCTTTCATTTTGAATAGTAACCATTCAAACAAACAAAATTTGAATTTCAACACGAACTTACAACAGTGTTGGACAAGCGAAATAAAAGTTTTGCACAAATGCACGATTTATTGAGATAACTATTTTCTTTCATATCATTTTTTAAAAAAATCTACGCATTCCAGTACCATTAAAACCTTATTTTGTAACATTCATAAAATGTAAAATTCTTTCTAAGAATTCTATGTTATCTTTTCATGCATTCCAGTATTATTATTAAATATTTCGAATCATTCATCATTCTATCCTGCAGTCAAAGAGTTTTCGTATCTTCTTAAGGCATTCCTGTTTCTTTATAAACTTTTTGAGGCATTTGTGCAACATACACAGTCTTTCTCTCATATCATAATAAAATTTTATTCCAATAAATAAATCTGATTTATAGAGATCAATAGCAAGTACTCAAAGCTGTGGCCACGCGTGCCATTGCACAATTCAAGTCTGCGAATGAATAAATGTTGCACCTGTTAGATCTTAGAGATTCCAGGCCTTGTGTTAATTTTGTAAGCGGCAGCAATAGTAATGTTGCCTTGCTACGAGCAAAATGCTAACTTTTTGTGTCCCCCGAAGAAAAATTCTAGAAGGTTGAAGTCCGGTGAACGAGGTAGCCGCGGCATTGTTCTTTTCAACCTCTCAGAATGGAATGCAACTCTTTGCTCTATAGTAAATAATATTCGTTTGTATAGATACTATTACTCATTAAAATACTACTTTAGAAATGGTGTAGCATATCAATATAATATCTCAAGTTCTTCGCATCAATTAAATTAAATTCGTCAATATACACATATATCAATATGCCTACATCAATATACGAAGGATTTATATAAGCCAAAAAATCATAAATATAACAAATATAAGAGGGCACCCTGTTCGTATGATGTTTTTAAAAGTGCTCATAAGTATGCAGTTAAGTTTAATAAGAAAAAATATATTAACATAAAAATATGTAATTTCTTAAAAGAAGAATTTTTTTGTTTTTAATTTTATTAAACGCTTAACACTTTTTCCTCAAAAAACTAAATGAATTTCTTACATATCTGAGTAAAATTTATAAATCAATTATCTGGGGATATTTAACTTCACTAAATGAGCAATTTTGAAGCAGAAAGATAGCTCTAGCTCACCAAATGCATAATTTTTTTGAATGCTTGGCAAAACGGAGTGTTCTTAATAAACGGGTGCAGCGCGCCGCAGCGGTAAAAAACTTAATTACTCGTTAGTTAATAATTATTATTTTTAGAGCAATTATTATTCATAATTGAATTTATGAAAATGATTTTATTTGTTCGATTATTCTTTCTATTTCTCTTGCTCTTAAGTTTATTCATACGTTGAACAAAATACATATTATATGATTGACAGTCTTCATTAATTCTTATAAGTTAATACAAATACAAAACAGTAAATACAAATACGCGTTATTGCTTATGACTGAATAAATGTGTTTCAATAAATAACAAATGTAGATTTTCCTTCTACTGTATTAAAAGTAGATTTTTTTTATCAAATAACGAATGAACAGGAGTAAATAAAAATATGACAGAAAACGATTAACGAATAACCAAACTAAAAATTAAGAATTGTTTAGATAATTTTCACATAAATGTCATTTTCACATAAACATCACAGAAAAACTTAATATCACTAAACATCCATGCAATCCCATCTTGTTTCAATAGCTTTTATTACAATTCAGCAAAGAATAAAAAATAAAAAAACTTATTTAGAATAATACTGTCGAACTTCGATGCATCATTCTCTCTTGCATCTTTCGTTTTTCCGTATGTATCTTCGTGTTATAATGGTCCCTTCACAAATGCTACTATAATTTTAATAACACCCGTTTAGAACGCTTCTGAAACTATTAGATTGATCTGCATTTTTCATTTAGAAATTTTACCGATATTTTAAAAAAAAAGTTTAAGTTATTATGTTTTAAGGAAAAAAACAATAAATCTTGAATAAGTAGAAAATGAGGATTTGTTACAGTTTGGGTAAAACCGCCTCAAATAGCGCGTTAGCTACAAATGACTCAGTAGGTAGAAGTGTTGAAACTTGTTTTGAGACGCAGGTTGACAAAATGGTTACAGAGGGCCTAAACTGTACAAAATGATACCGAAGAAAAGGAACTGCATTCATAGCAAGCATAACCAACTAATTCAAATCTTAAGTCTCAAAATTTTGAGGGAAAAAATGAGAAACTTTCTATATTCGTCATAATTTACAAGAAAAAATAATCAGTAATCTATTACAAATGTCGAAGATTTATAATTTGCATTATGAAGAAAAGAGTGTGTTGAAATCAAGATTTTAAATAGCCGGGATAGCCTGGTTGGCAGGGTGCTGGAATCACTTTCGTGAGAACGGGAATTCGAATCCATCCCAGCTGAAGACTCCCCGTACAGTAAATGGTGTATTATGTGATTGTTTGCATATGTATTGTGTGAGTTAGATCGGTGGCCAGACGTGGACTATACGGTTAAGGGTTTTGCAAACCTAGGTACGTCTCCACGTCTGGAAAAAAAGAAAAGAAAGAAAAAGAAGCAAATGGTGACTGGTGCACGTTAAATCTGTCGGGTCACAAAGTCCTCCATGTTCCCGTAACAAATTATACCTCTGGGGGTACTGAATTGGAGATTATTCGTTCTCTGGTTCAGATCAAAATTATGATCCGTGGGTGAATGAACGGATGTATGAATGGGTCCGTCCTATCGACGGGTGTGACGCATGGGTGAGGCAGAAATCGAATTCTTGGGGCGCCATTGGAAAACAATAACAATACCCCCCCCCCTCTGCTTTAATGGCCGACGACAATAACAATAATTTTAAATAAATCTGTTTGTTCATCCTTCTCTTTCGTTGTAAATATTTTTGCATTAAGAACATAAATTTTGATTAAATCCTGTTTTTTACAATTAAAATTTTTTATTCTTATTCCAAATTTATTGGTTTTTATGTAAATAAATTTTTTATTATTTTTCAAGTCATTATTTTAAGGGGCCAGAGGTTTGATCCTCAACTCAGCTAAGACCCATCGAATATATGCGATATACGTACTCGTAAAATCTGTGGAATTGAAAGTCCTGTAATCGGTCGCTGAGTAGTACCATTGGTACAAGGTTCTGAAAAAATTTTCCTTCCCATTCAGATCTATGTCTAAATTGAGGCCTCACAAATGAGATCCCCTCTGCAGAAGATCAAAATTGTGATGACATGTCTTCGGATCATCCTCAGGGATGTTTCCCAGGCTGTCTCCAATACACCAATACTAATCTCCAATACACCAATGTTGACTCGAATTCGCCGTTTTCCCGTACGTATCGTTTGCAATGAATGAAACAATCGATCAAGGTTCTAATGTATATCATAATCGTAATACCCATAAGAGATAAACAGATGTAGACAAAATTATGAGAAAGGCACTAAATTACAAATCGCCACGAGTCAACTCAATTTCCTAGCATGAGCTACTCGCTTTTCTTTTAGTGTTATTGGATCATTATGCATTATTCGTTAGCCTTAGAATGGTAGATGGTCTTTTGTACTTCGTTGCGGCGCAGCTAATGTCTCCGATCTCACAATTTTACCCTATGAAATGTAAGAAAAACTCTACACATTAAAAGAAATATTTTGCACAATTGATTTTCAAATTATCTTATAATTATTATTTTATATTATTGTTTACATAAACAATGGGATGCATGTAAGTGACACGAAGCGTGGATAGCTCGATCTTGAATGGATGTTGAAACGTGGCGTTTGTTTACTTCAGCAAATGTCCTTCTATTCTATTTCAAGTAAGCCAAGCCCGTCAAGTATCAATTCTCTTAAGTGATTTCTATATTCTTTCACTATATATTTTTACTTAACACAAGGACAGTTACGAAGCCATGTAGAACATAAACAAACTAATTATGCATTGAAGTTGCTATGTACGCAAAACAAAAATACATCACGTTTACAATAAAATACATAAACAAATAATAAACCTGAGTTAAATAAAAGAAGTAGATGAGAAAGAATTAAATTTTAACAAATTCGATGTGCGATACCAAGTTATATTTTATTAATTTTACATTAATTATCATCCTGAGGTCATAGGTCACGTGTCTTAGTATCAGTGATTGTCTTCTTCTCGAGTTGCTAGTACCCAAATCTAAAAAATTCGCAACGTATCGAACCCCCCCTTTCTTTAAAAAATTTTTAACACTACTTTTAAGAAAAATTAAATTAAGGAACTCAAAGATAATTTTTGTGCCGAAAAATCTAGTTTCAAAAAGTAGTCCAATTTAAAAAGAAGAAGAAAAAAATTTTTTTTGATTCAGTTTGCCGTATTTAACATTGGCCTCAAATCAAATGCTCGTTTTTATCTTTAACGTGACTACTTCACTTATATGAAGATTCATTTCTCTATTTCAATCGATATATAATCGTTCATTTGTAAGTTTAAGAAGCGGAAAATGGACATTGTAAAAAGTAGTTGCTAAGATACCGTTTGTATCGATATTTAAGAGGAAGAAAATGGTACGTGAGAAACTAAGTTTACTTCATTTCTCAAACGATACTGCGAATTGCTGAATTACAAAATTTATAAGATAGAAACTCAGAAAATAGATCAACTTTAAAATAAATTTATGTAACATGGCTCTGGAATTTAATGACGGTTCTGCTCAATCACATTGCTCGGAAATCGGAAAAAGGGATCCTGAACAAAATGTGGTGACCGTAAAATTTGTAGAGTCAGAAACGACACATGACATGCAGGAGACAGATAATTTGCCGCCAACATTTGATCACCCTTCTAAATTCAATTATGGAAATTGTGTCTGCACTGCAAGTGATGGTTTACTCAAACAATTATCTGAAAACATTTGTGGTAAAAAAGATGGCCCTGCGAAGAATAACTTAAAAAATATTCACCCGTTTTATCGAACCATTAATTCTGACTATGGATCTAAGCCTCCTTGCGTACATACTATGCCAATTACTTTCTACCCAAAGAAGCAAAAGTATTGGGAAAATTTGGCTCGAGTTGGTATGTACCGTAATTGTAGTTTCAATACAGCAATCGAGAAAAGCCGCATTTGAATTTTTTTTAGGAAAAAAGCACTAATAAACAATGAAAAAGACTGATTAAAAATTTTCGTATGATTAGTAGGTATTAGAATTTGTTTTTAAATGTAATGTTGAATGCTTTATGTGTATCTATGTTTTAAATGTGTATTTGATTGAAAATAGTAAGCTTAAGACAGTTATAGAGTAGAAAATTTGGACTCATTTATACTATGGCATTTAATAGTTATTGTGAAAATATCAACTTCAATAATGCTTTGTTTGATTGTTCTTTTTAAATTAAAATAATTAATCTGCAAACGATTATTATAATATGTTGATAATTTGATTTCTTTCATGAACGATAGTACTTTATTGTTTAGTTTAATAATTTATGAATTAATAACGAAGAATAATAATAAATAGGGAATTAATAACGCTACTCCCGCTGACTTCTTTATTATTTTAAAAGGATTAATGGTGCATACCATTCCTATAAATATGTGTTTCAATAAACATTGAAAAATTTTCCGGACTAGAAAACTAGTGAAAAGTTAAAATATTTATAATAAACTGTAATTTACTTTACAAAATGTACTTCAGTTTTTATTAATACACAACATCCTTCAGGAAATAACACCTAAGCTTATTATCGAACTTTTTTTTTAAAAAAAAGAAAGAAAAAAAAAAGAAACAAGCTTCATACACAAGCAGCAAGCTTCAGGCAATTAATTTAAATTAATAAAAGAAAGCGATAATCTCATTAATTTATTCTAATAGTTCTTTTTTAGCAAGTGGAGCTGAAATTATTTGATTGGGTGAAAGTGTTGCCATTTTGCCGTTCTTTGAAGAAGAAAAAAAACGCGTCGTTTTATTACATGCTGTAGCACTACAGGTGTATGTAATATATGGTTTCTTTTTTCTTTATTTTGACAAATGGTTCAAGAAGGTAAGATCATAATTTTAAAGAAGCGGTACCATTTCTTCTTTTTACAGCGGCACTGGAAAAGGTTAGTAAGAAACATGTGCTTTGTGACAATCAAAAAAAAAAATATATTAAAACTAACTGTAAGAATAGAACAGCAAATTACTTAGTCAAGTCATTAAATTAAATTTTTTTTTGATGGTATTAGAAGTTTTGCGAACAACTAACATATTTTCTGTACCTTCCACTGCTTAATTAACTAAAATTGACGAAAATGTCCCTTACTATATCTTTCTTCCAAGATCTTATTAATTTTTAACATACTCCGAAAAACTGATGCTTTGATAAAAAGCTCTACCAGCATCCAACCTAAATACATATAAGAGATAACAAAGTAAGGAAATTAAAAGTTTGATTTCCCTTAGAATTATTTTACAGTGTTCTTTGATAAATATCTTCAATTTTAAAGAAATTTATGGAGTTCTTTTTAGTTGCCTAACAACAGAGGAGAATTCGATAAAAAATTTCTGACGCAATGGTTAATTTGGTACAATTTACCATAAACACCGCGGAGTGCTCCTTTAAAAGTTATAAATATGTGATCAAAGTTTTGTGTTTTTATGAAGTTATTACATAACTCTTAATACTTTTTTCAACAGTATAATAACTAATCAACTAATTATTAACCTAAGAATAATATTTCATAACTAGAATAAAAAAAATATTATTTTATGCTTGTTTAATAGAGTTAAAAGTAATAATAATAATTGCAAAGGGCAATCGGTTCAATTTTAAACGCTTTTAAAGCTTTAAAAAAATAATAATGTTTAAAAGCTTTTTTTTCTCTTGTCATATCTTAGTTCCTCGAATCTTTTGATTCCAAAGCTGGAGATAACTTTTAAGGCTTTTTTACTTAACTTGAATATTGAAATTCAAATAAAACATCAATTTTTAAAAGCTACCTTTTTTTTAAGAAAAAAAATGTCTTAATATGTTTCTATTATACTTTTTCTTATAGTGATGTAATTAAGAGAGGTTTCAAAAAGCTTTTTTATCAATCTTCATCCAAAGAGTTGCGATGTATTTAAAACCGAAACAGGTATTCCATGGGTATTTGATGTCATAGTCACGTAACTCCACTAAAAGTGGCGTCGCAGGGTTAGAACAATATTTCTCCAATGACATTTACTTTATTTACTTAAAAGCGTTCTTTCTTAAAAGATATACGTAGGCGAGAAGTTGTTCTTGCCTTTCTCGATGATCTATCCAGCAAAATATATACCGTCTCCATGAAATATTGATATTCTGTTATTTTTGTATATTTATAAATCTACAGTGTTAAAAATTTAAAAAAGGAATCTAAGATGTGGTAACCTTAATCTTCTTAAGCTAATGATTATATTGGTTGTTAAATCAGATACAAAAATATACTTAGAAATAAACGGATTCTCTTTTTCGACGAATTTGAATTATTTTATCTCCTATTTAGTATGGAGACCTGTTGAAAGTTGAGCATTAAAGTAAAAAAATATTACTTTAGGCTTGGAACAACACGAATCATACATACTTTTCACACATTTATAAATCTAGTTTTTGAAACTTTTATGTACATATAATGTAAAATAACTCTAAATAGTCATTTATTATTTTATCTATTAATAATCGGGGTCTTAATTTACAATGGAATTAATATTTATTAATTGTCAGGAAAAATTTTTCACATTCCTTAACAATTCAAGCGAAAATTTCTGAGTTCCTGAGAAAGTTTCTAAAATTGGAAGGAAAAAAAAAGAGAAGACTTTTTTTTTATAAAGAACTATTTGATCAATTTCAAGCAAGTTTTACATTTTGTCATTTAAAATTACAGCTTAAGAAGTTGTAAAATTTTTTATGATACAGTTTAAAAATTTTATTATTATCGAATTTTTTAATAAATAACTTCTAAAAATAAATTTCTGCAGGAAATTATCTTTGGGAGAACGATTTTTGCCAAAAGGTTAAAATTATAAGAATTTTTCTGAATTGTAAATTGTATTCCAACAGTTTGATGAATTACGTAATAAGTAAAAATAATAAAAACTCAAGCTTTTGGCTATTCTTTTGTCTAGACTGGGAAAAAGATCATTTGGGGGGGGGGATCATTAATTATGCCTCATAGTTAGACTCATACTTTGGAGCCGAAATTTCAAATTTGCCAATTAGAATTTCATATAAAGGACTTCTCTTTATCAGATTTCGTAACATAGTTCATTGTCAGAGTTTATTGAGCAACACAAACAATTAGATTAGACAATTATTACATGAAATTCAATCATCAGGTCAAAAGTTATCCGATTAACTCAACCCCTATATATTACAAACTGTACAAATTACTGATAGCTTTGTCCTTTTAGGATTCAGAATGTGGAGAAAAAAAAACTATCTACATAGTTATTAATTTGATAGTCGAAGTTTCTCTCAAAAAATTTCAAATTTTGATGGTTTGCGCCGTTTACTTTAGTATTAAACAAATCTTAACTATTATTATTATTATACTGAGTATAATTTCAATAATGGGGATAAGTATGAAGCTCGCCTCTAAAAAAACTTTAAAAAAAACTATCCATGTTTTCGGTTACGACTTGTAGAATTATAAACGACTCCAACGATCTCGGCTAATTAAAAATATTTACAATAGCAAACAATTCATTGGTTTAAGTATAATTTTCATCGGGATGATTAGGGGCTAAAAATCCCCGATTGTTAAGAACACTATTTTTACCTAAATTTTATTACATAAACTGAAGGAAACAGAAGAGGAAACGGGTGCTGTAATTATTTTATTAAATTTAACTGACAAGAGTGCTAATGTATAGAAATTTTCTAAGAAAACATTCAGTTAATCAGAATACGTAATTCTATACCAAGAAATTTACCGTAGAGATAGACAATTAAGATAACTAATTAAATAGGCGTAACTTTTCGTAATTGCTCGTTCACATTATTTGAACTTATCGCTCTAAGTCTTAATTAAAAATGACAGATGGAAATTCGTGAGTACCTGTAATGGCGGGAGTTTCAAGGGGAAGGGAAATCATTATTAAACACTTATCAAATCGTGCTATCAGAAAATCTGAATAATCGGGCAAAAGAAGCAAAAATGTTTAGTCGCCTCAGACATTTTATCTCCGTCTCACCGTCATTAAAAACACATAAAAAATAAATAAACATTAATATTAACCAGGTAGACATAATCTTTTTCACACATCAGTCTTAAGACCGATGAGAGAAAAAGATTATGTCTATCTGGTTTATTGTTCACAAAGAAAAAAAATGGACAAGGAAATATTTTACTCTTAGTGCTTTGAAAACAGTACAATAAATTACTTTTTTTTTAATTAAAATTAAAGTATCTTTTGTACTTTGCTACGTTATGAGTACTAATAGAAACTTATGTAAATGGCATGCAAGAGTTGCTCGGCATAGTACGTAAAATAAAGAATACTACAGGCTATTATAAGCGACCCTATTTAATAGCCTATATTTCGCCGAATATTGACACATAAATTTTGAAATTCGGCCTTATATATTGTTGCAATGTCTATATACACCACACTAAATTTCAAAATTACAGACACAGAAAGAGCCTATTTGTGATATCAATAATTCCCTACACATTATAGTGTAATGCAGTGTTTCCCAAAGTGCGGTACGCGTACCCCTGGGGGTACGGGAGCAGTTTAGCGGGGGTACGCGTTCTTATGCGAAATATTTTGCAACAAACGGAAATTTCAAAAACTTTTTTGCCAAATTAAAAATTAATAATTAGTGGTGTCAACAGCCAGTTGGGATTTTTAACTTTTGTGCAATTTTTTATAGTAAAAAATACATTCATTTTTTATAAGTGTTACACAGCTTTGCGAAAAATTTAGAAAGGGTACACAAAAGTTATAAGTTTGGGAAACACTGGTGTAATGTAATGATCAAATTTACTAATCTCATTGGAACACAGAAACGGAAATAGTAATCAGATTTTTTTTTCTGAGCTGAATTTGTATAAATGGTATTGGGAGTGTCTCTATTTATTAGTTGTTTCGAAAACTATGCTTTTAAAAGAAAAACTAAATTGCTGTAGATCTATTTCACTAGTTTTCATGTCATTTCACATAACTAACCACAGAGGCTTTTATAAATATATAGCACAATTGAGACAAAAACAAAGAATATGAATAAGTTTTATTTACTGCGCATCAGCTGCAAGTATATAGAACTCATAAACCAAGTTAAAAATATGGAAAATAAAATTAAAAAAATTATGTGTATATATATATATATAATATTGTATTTT